GACTTGATATCAATTAGGAGCTCAAATAAAACTAAACCTGCAGCTCTATTAAAGTTAGTGGTTTAAGGCTAATATAAGAGCTAGAAGGATTCCTATCTTAATTGTGGATTAGAAGTTATAAACCTAATGCAATAAAGACTTCTTAAGAGTTTCTTGATGGGCAAGACTCTTAGGAATATGCATATAAATACAAGTGCCCCTGCTCAACCGATCAAGCCAACCCACACAAAAGAATTCACCCCATCTAGAATGAGTGTATGAGGGATCAGATTGAGGAGAAGAGCTCTTGTGTATATTCTTGATATTTCGACAGTTTCTATGACATACCAAAGATATGTGTTCTACTTATGTGCAGTCAATAAAGTTTACAGCCTTGTGGTGCTTGGTCGTAGAAAAACTCAATCTTTGCAACTTCCACAAAGGTATCAGCTACACCCATCAGAGCAAACTGTGGCAGCAGAATGAAAATTGTGAGAGGTACTTTTTCTCCTTTGCCAAAGATGCCATTTTCTCTTGCAACGCTGAGTCTTTTTCTTTCAGCCAAACAGGCAATGACCATGATTATGATTTGCATCACAAACCCAATTCCCATTCTCTTCAGCAGTGTGATTCCTCTGGGGTTTTTCGTGTAACGCCTGATTGCTGGCACGAAGAGACGGTCATAGATTGGGAGGCTGACCAACATGGAAAGTGTTATGAATGATGCAAGAGATGCAGGGGGGATTTTGAAATGGGGACCCATGGAAGCATCTAATGTGGTGCCTTGCTTGATGAAAAGGGTGTGTGTCTCAGCTATGATGATGGCAGGTATAAATGTTGTGAGCAAAACTGGAATCATCTTCATCATTTGCTTGGTTTCTTCAACTTGGGTCACTGGACATAGAGTCCATGGTGTGCTTGGTCCACTCTTCACAGCAGCTCTGTCAAGTGATCTGCAGGAGCTTAATGCAGAGCAAGTAAGGTGGGACATCCACTTAGGGGTAAAGGTCAGAAATTGAAAGCACTTTGTTTGAAGACTATGATGAACATTATATACGTTTAGTATTGTCTAAAACTAAGAAATTGTGATATAAAAATGGGTTTAAGTTACTTAATTTGTTACCGTTATTAAAACAAGAATTCACTCAATTAGTAATTCAAATTGATAATATGATAACATAATACCTCAGACTGTTTGACAAGAGAACATTTTCTGATTAATAAGGAATAGACTTTGTTCGAGGCTAAGAAATTGTTCAAATTTATAATATAATAATAACATAATATGTTAGACTGTCTGACAAAAGAACATTGATGTACGAATTTCGAGACTAAGAATTAAACATAGACATTAAGAACAAGTACCTCAAAGATGAGGAGTGATCAATTTTGAGTTTGCTTTTGTCTGCATAATCTTCCAGGCTCAATTCATAAAGCTCTTTTGGGTCATTTGGGACAGGAACTTTCCACTTCCTAACTGCTGCTACTAGTACCTGAGCAACACTAGTGATAGGACTTCCTGAAGGCAACTTGTGCCTGTAAGATGGGGTTCCCACCAAGAACACCACCACTGCAATCACAAGCCCAACTGTTGGGATGCCATAGCCAAGAGTCCAACCAACATTGTCTTGTATGTACACCAAGAAAGTGTGTGAGAAAAGGGTGCCAAAGAAAACGGAAAACATCCACCAATTGAAGAAGGAGAGCTTGTGGGCCTTCTCCTTGGGCTCAAAATCATCAAATTGGTCTGCTCCCATGGTTAAGATGTTGGGCTTGGTTCCACCAGCTCCAACTGCTATCATGTACAATGCACAATAGAAGATGCCCACTTGAAAAGGTGAAGCTTTTGTGCAATCCTCTGCTTGAATGCCATGGGCACAAGCTGGTGGCTTCAAAGCTGGCACTGATACAGCTAGTGTTAAAAGTGACATGCCCTGTTAAGAGAAACCCATATTTTTGTTACTGCGGTTATTATATGAGCTACCTAAGACAATTCATCTGAAAAAAGAAAAAAGTTGTGTCCAAGAATTTACCATGAGATAAATGAGAACTGCTAGAACAAAGGTCCTATATCTACCAAGATATGTATCTGCAATGTAAGCACCAAAAATAGGTGTGAGCCAAAGGGTGCCAAACCAGTTGGTGACATTGTTTGAAGATTGTACAGTGCCTTCATGGAGCTTCCTTGTCAAATACACCACTAAGTTTGCTGAAATCCCATGATTTGCCATCCTTTCAAATATTTCATACCCTAAAAAACACAATCCAACATTTAATTATATATATGTAAATGTATATATAATGTTATAATTAAGCTATATACATACATACCTACAATGAAGGAGCAAGCTCTCCATCTCCCAGTCTTTGATCTCAAAATTGGTCTGCCTTTGAGATCCACAGTCCCATCTTGTGTGAAATCTTGTCCTCCATATGCAGGGCCTTTCTCCTCTGGATTTTCCATAATGTCAGAGCTAGAGAGAGCAAGAAAGACAGACTTGGAGTCTAGTTAGCTTTTTTTTGGTCATAGGAGTCTAGTTAGCTAGTTGGTCTTTCAGCTTCCAAACAAAACTATGAATAGAAAATAAAATAAAATAATTATATTTTTAGATCTCATTCACTTGTTTCTTTTTGTTTAGGAATCTTATCATAGATATGGTATTCTGGTCATGCTAGTTACTTCCACATTGCTTGAAATAAGTGCATTTAATTATTGGACTTAGGACTTTTTATGGTGGTTGAAAAACGTGGTGTCAACTCATGGATTCCATTGACACAAACTGAAAGTGAGTGAAAAGGTATAATCCAATCCAATTCAATCCAATCTCGTATATAATGCATATGTCATACATAAGTACGTACGTATGTATATAAGAATATGAGAGATTCTTCAATAAGTATTTTATGTTAAGAATTGATTATATAATTTTAATCTCAACCGTTGGATTGCATGTATATTACATATTAAATCTACAAAAACATCTAATAAATACAATCAAACAGCCGAAATTAGAAATATGTGACAAATTCTTAACATAAAATACTTATTTAAGAATTCTCCATAAGAATATACTCATCACTAAACAACAACAAAAAATGAATTGTAAAGTAAAAGAATATGAAGAACAGTGCAAGCACCAAAGATTAAGAACAACACACCCATGATGCAACCAGAACAGACAAATTGAAGCTAAATTCAACAAAGGCAAAGACTCACTCAAACAAATAGCAAGCAAAAACAAAACAAGAAACAGCAAAGCCTTCAAGACAAACACTTAAAGTTGAAAACCACCACCAATACCAGACATAAAGATCACAAGCAATTAATATTTGGTAAACTTCCAATGTCCGTAGACCCCATATTACAGTAATTGTGTGCAATCTGTCTAAGAGCAAAGCTCAACGTCACACTCAAAATAGACTGAGACCGAAGCCCAAAAAAAGGCATAATTAAAAGAAATATTTAGAAAGTGATTCCAAGAAACTCAAGTAGGAAGATGGTAAAGATGAGGGAATAAACAGGGGGTGGTCGATAGTGGAGCATGAGGCTATGGCTTCGCTGGGCTTCTCTTCGTTCAAAATGCTGTGCATATGGAGGTTACTGTTCCCATGACTAACTAAACCCACGTTCATAGGCCCACACAAAAACCCACTGGAAAAAGAAACACCCAGTGGAAATGTGGGATCATAGCTAGACTGCTACTGATGATAGATACACATGCATATGGCAATTCAAACAGGTGCATATATTCTGACAATACCATCCACACACGATCACCACGCTCACTTGGTTGTGTTGGGTGACTGTCATCCTTCGATGGACGTAGACCTCACACCCTATTGATGACAGTCACCCAAGCATGCGCCAATTAGCGTGGATTCTATGGTGGAGTCCACATATCTATGATTAATAGCATCCAGTCACGTATTTTAGCCTCACTCACCTTTTGGGTTCGCTTGAAAATTATTTAGAGAGGTTTGGAATTAATTCTTGGCTGAGTATATAAGGTGTAGTAGCCGGAATTGCAGTTTGGCAATCCCACCGCCGATTCTCTCAGTAACACAAATGAAGTTTTGTTTTTTAAACAGAAACAAGAAAAGAAAAAGAAGCATGAAAGAAAGCCAGTTTTTTGCTAAATTTTGTAAAATGGATCACCAGTGAGTACGTTCCTGAAAAACATTTAAAAAATCTATTCCAAAAGGAAATCTATATATATAATAAAAAGTAGAGAATGGTAAAATATTCAAAATATAAAAATTGTCATTGATTAATGAATTTAGGGTAATTTTCATTTTACTACGTGGAAGTTTACTAAGTTTTAGTCTTTGCATCAAGTTTTTTTCATCTTAGTCGCATACATATGAAAATTATCCATGAATTTATTAAGTACTGGAACTTTTCATTAAATAAGAATAATATAGTAAATTAATATTTTTTAACATTAAAAAAATTTAAAATAAAAACCAAAATAAGAACTTGGGTTCTATTTTCATGAAACACAATTTCAGTTTTTTTTGGTTTTGGATTATCTTTCTTAATTCAAAAATAAAAAACCAATTGGCACTTGGGGCTAGTAAATAAATAAAAGAGAACATGAAAGTTCTTAAGCCAAACATTACATATTAGGTTGGTTGCCCAAACTGGCGTATGGGTTTGTTATTTTTTATTTATTGAAAGGCTCTTTTTTTGTTGCAATTTATTGAAAGGCTTTGCTACTTCAACAAAAAACAATCGGTTTGCCCAAAAAAATTTAAAAGAAAAACGCAAAGCCGGTCTTCTCTCCACCCTAAAAAAAATCGTCTACTCTTGTCTCAACCCATGGCTCGCTAGCTCGCTCCAAGAAACAAGGATGAAAAACTCGTTGGAAAGCTGTGAACCGGAGAACAACAGTAATGCTGGCCGAAGTGATACTGTATGCATGCGTTTCTCTCTCTCTCTCTCTCTCTCTCTCTCTTTTTTCAATATTTAAAGTTATTTTAGTTAAGTGTGCGACGTAGTTTGGTTGGGACTTGTCCTGCATGACTTGTCTTCCTTGGTGGTTTTTGTTTGCTCCCTTGGTTGGTCAAGGGCTGCTTTGTTTCTCTTTGGCGAAACACTAACCCCTTTTGTTTCTCTTGGCCGCTTTGTTTCTCAGTTGGTGACTATTTGGGCTCTATTCTTCTAATTCTTAATGTGTCGTCATGCATGGTGTGATATTTCCCCTCTTTCCCAAATTGAAATGGTTCAACCGGCAATCTGCAGGTATCTACAGTTTACTGTTGATGATATTACAAAGGCAAGGAAGTTAGTGTGCCGCACGCTGGATGATGATAATAGGTTTACAAAGTTCATCGTCAGAATATTAATGAGCCAGCTTGCACTTTGTCAAGAGGTTTTTCTCTGCTCTAGAAACATATGGGTTCACATGCTATAGCTTATTTGTAAATGTTGTAATCACTTTGGATTATCTATGATTGTTGTAGGATGCTGGTGGTGAAGATGTCGTTGGGACATCGCCGTGAGGAGGTAATGAAATGGATTCCCATAATTCCAAGTTTACCTGTTGTTCTTTTGAAGCTTTTGCTCTTCGACTTCGAATCTAAAGGGAAAGAAAGTGAAACTCTACTTTGAGGCGTCTGTCAATGTTGAGATGCATGCTATAAATAGAATAGCTTCTTTGGAAATGTTGGAATTCACTTTTCCTCTCTTATTGTTGTTTGACAGATGTATTTGGAGATGGGGATCCATTTAATGGATGGAGATTTTTGAAGAAGACAAGTAAAAGAGACGTTTGATGCCTTCAATTTTGAGCGTCTTGTCTGATTTAAGTGTATTTCTTCTAATGAAATATCGCAAGTTTCAACTCCAATTAGGCAAAACTAGTTATTCTTTGCACAGATTTTTTCGCTTCCTTTTCCGCAACCACACCATCAAAGATGCTGTCCTTTTTTTATATTTTTAATTCTACTTTTCTTGATTTTGGATTGGGGTCCTTGGAACTCAAATGCATTTCATATTTATTTAATCTATTTTCATAATATATTCTTGAATATGAATGAGTATGTTGATGTTATCTTCAATTATTTGGTCAAAACGAAGGCAAACAAAAACTCCGGGTTCAAGTAGCAGAGATCGATGAGCAATGAAATCTAATGTAGAAGGTGGAGTTAGGATTTCACAATAAAAGGGACCTTACACAAAATTTTAAAAAATAATTTGAATAAGAGCGTTAAAACGCTAACTGGTTTATAGGTTAATAAAACACTAACTACCCATTTTGGTCCACTTCATAATATCATTTTTTATTAATTAATAATATATACATTTGTTACAATCAAAATTGTCATGAATTTCATCTTTTAAATTGGTTGAATAGTAATCTCATCATCTACACTATTAAATACTCAAATTAGTAATTTATATTCCAATTGAGAGAAGAATTTTTTTTTTTTATAAAACCCAACACTAAGGTACTCGTACATGACAAAAGAATACGGAAATAAAAAAATTCACAAAGCAACCAACTATACGGAAGGAGGCGTAGTTATGGTCCGTTGTTCCATATTCATTAGCATCTCTTTCTTCCCCAAAAGGCTCTGGAAAATAACATGTGGACTGAAAGAAAAAAAAGAACACTAATTTTACTTGATGTGATCATGTGAACTGACGATTTTTGCAAACAAGGGAGTTTTTCCATTAAATCACAAAGGCAGGAACTCAACCCAGGTGGTGAAGACGCTCAAGGCAGGAAAAAGAAATTAAAAAAATTAAAGAGCATTGTTTATATATATATTTTTTAAAAAGTTGACTCAAAGCTTGATGGCGTGGCATTTCTTAAGTTTTTAGATTATTAGGATGGTTTGGATGCAGCAAAGTGCAAGTAAATGCATAATAGCTAAATGTAGAGGTTCCGGATCCTCCACTGAAGATGTTAAATTTGAATTTAATGGCTTATGTAACAATTTAACACTTTTAGTAAAAAATTAAACTCCACTCTAAATGAAAAATATTATTATTCTTTTATTATATTTTTAAAAGTAAATGGGTTCGGGAGGGGGTTGCCGTTGGAAATTCTTCGGTTTGCACAAGTTTACCTGGTGTTCTTTCGAAGATTTTGGTCTTCAAATTTCGATTGTTTCGAATATTAGACATGTGCTGTTTTAGGCACATAAAATGCCGTTTGCTCGTGAACCATCATTAGGTTCCACTAATCAAATCTAAAAGGAAAGAAAGTGATACTAGTTTGATGCAAACTGGGAATAGAATAGTTCCCGGAGTCTGGAAATTTGATCTTTCTAGTCTAGTCAGGTGGATATGCTGATTTGAAATGCATGTTTATAGTTTGTACTGAAATTTTTCAGGAGCAGTCGGAGGTGGATGTTATTGATTTGGAGGAGGATCCTGAATTATGGCCAAATGAGGTGAGGAAATAATATCTATGTATTTGGTAAACTTTATTAGCTTGTTTTTGTCGAAAATCAAAATAATGCTATGTACTGAAACAGTTTTGTACCGGAATTTTGCAGCTGTATGATGAGTATTACAAAGCGGAACAGGAGAAGATGCGGAAGGGGTTAGAGAGGGTGAGGAAGTTAAATTTGGTTAAAATTTGGTTAGAGAGGGTGGATTGTTCCAAGAGTCGATGAATTCGGTCATCCATGTGAACTCAATGATGATATTTCTGTCAATGTTTTTGTTTTGATAAGATATGTCTGTTAATGTTGAGATGCATGTAAGAACTTCTTTGGAAATTAATGTTGTAATTCACTTTTGATCTATGATTGTTTTACTACAATTGGCTTCGGAGATGGGGAAGCGATTGGACGAAATTGGTTTCTGAGACGGGGATGGGGAAGTGTGGCTTGGCTTGAATATGTCTAGTATTTTTCATGTTCTGAATAAATTAATTAATGCTGACTCAGAAAAGGAATTGTTTTCCCATTCCATCTGTTCTAGATATGTTTTTCTTTTGTTGCATTATTATTAAGTCTTGGAAACGAAAGAGCACCAAGGACTAGTCGGAGTGTTTCTGTTCCGTTCATTCACAAGTAATGCAAAGGAGTCCTTTTTTACTAACTTGTTTTTTCTGTTGCAAAAGAGCTCGTTTGGAAGTGATTCTAAATAGGTAGAATCACTTTGTGGCCATATGCTTCTCCATAGAATCACATAAAACTACTTAAAGTGATTATATTATATAGAGAAGTCATTCTCCAAAGAAGTGCTTTTTGGCATATCCAAAATCACTCCCAAACAATGATGCAAAATCAAATTTAGAGAACATAGACTAAAATGGGTGATGGAGAACTTCAATCTAAGCATGGCTTATAAGAAATCACCACAATGGGCTTTTTATTCAAAACGCCATAGTTGACTTATTCACCAACCTAAAAGGAAAAGACGAGAAGAGAAGAGGGGGATGAGGGGCAGCAACATGCAAATTTTGTGTTGCCTTCGGCACCCCCGTGCTTAAGCAAATTGCCTTGCAACATGCAAGCTTTGTGTCATCTTCGGCACCCGTGATGACGTCATACCTTCCATTCGGAACCCTCCCGTCCGAAGCATGGAATGAGACCCATGTGACTCGTGATGATGTTATACCTTCCATTCGAAACCATCCCTTCACCTTCGGTACCCCCGTGCCTAAGCACATTGCCTTGCAACATGAAAGCTTTGTGTTGCCTTCAGCATCCCTTTGCCTTCGGCACCCCTGTGCCTAAGCACATTGCCTTGCAACATGCAAGCTTTGTGTCGCCTTCGGCATCCCTTTGCCTTCGGCACCCCCGTGCCTAAGCTCACATTCGGCACCCCCGTGCCTAAGCACATTGCCTTGCAACATGCAAGCTTTGTGTCGCCTTCGGCATCCCTTTGTCTTCGGCACTCCCTTACCTAAGCTCACCTTCGGCACCCCCGTGCCTAAGCACATTGCCTTGCAACATGCAAGCTTTGTGTCACCTTCGGTACTCCCGTGCCTAAGCACATTATCTTGCAACATGCAAGCTTTGTGTCGCCTTTGGCACCCTTTCACCTTCGGCACCCCCGTGCCTAAGCAAATTGCCTTGCAACATGCAAGCTTTGTGTCACCTTTGGCACCCGCGATGACATCATACCTTCCGTTCGGAACCCTTCCGTCCGAAGCATGGAATGAGATCCATGCGACTCGTGATGATGTCATACCTACCGTTCAGAACCATCCCTTCACCTTCGGCACCCCTATGCCTAAGCACATTGCCTTGCAACATGCAAGCATTGTGTCGCCTTTGGCATCCCTTCACCTTCGGCACCCCCGTGTCTAAGCACATTGCCTTGCAACATGCAAGCTTTGTGTCGCCTTTGGCACCCCCGTGTCTAAGCTCACCTTCAGCACCCCCGTGCCTAAGAACATTGTCTTGCAACATGTAAGCTTTGTGTCGCCTTCAGCACCCCTTCACCTTTGACACCCCCATGCCTAAGCACATTGCCTTGTAACATGCAAGCTTTATGTCACCTTTGGCATCTCCTTTGCCTTCGGCACCCTCGTGCATGAGCATATTTGTCTTGCGACGTTCAAGTCTTGTACCTTCAGCACCCCCGGCCCTTCATGCCCTTTGGTACCATTGCATAACAAACTGAGAACTTGCAAACCACTTGGCTTTTTGTTGCAAGTTCCCTCCCTCCAATGTCCTTCTTACCCGAGGACTTAAGGGACTATGGGTAGTGCACTACACAGCTTGGAAGATGAACTGTGGTGTTGCTCGGCCAGTGCACTTAAAATTACAAGTCCCCAATCAAGAGGTACCTTTTTACTCGCGAACTTGGGGGACTACTGTTGGTATTGTAACTAGTCGAGCAACTAGCTAGGCTAGATCATCCTTGTGCCATGCTTTGAGAGGTCATCACCTTAGCCAAAGAAGAATGACCACAAGTCACAACTCTAAGCAAGGTAAGGAGTCCCACATCGGAAAACTATAAGAGATGGAGACTTCCCTTCACCTATAAAAGAAGACTACTCTCCCCTTAGAAAAGGACCCTCTCTCTCTCTTCTGCACTTTGGGTCTTGGGTCTTAACCCTTGGGCCTTGGACTCTTGGGCTTTGTACCTTAGGTCTTGAGCCTTCTTCCCTTTATCTTTGGGTCTATCCCCTTGTATAAATGTAAACAAACATTATCATAATGAGAACATCCTTCTCCATGGACGTAGCCCATCATTCGGGTGAACCATGTATACCTTGTCTTCTACATGCTTATTTACTTTACTTACATTGAATGTCATTGACTGCCGAAGGCACATACACATGCTGAAGGCTCACGTCTTCACACATTATCCACCACTCCACATCTATCTAAGTTGACCCTCCCAAAAAGAGCGTCAACAACTCTATCTGAACTGCTCTCAGTCCCAAACAGCTTAGAATCAACATAAAAAATCTCACACTTCTTTATGCGTTCTTTATTGATGAAGCAGCGGTCATGGATGATCAACAAAATAAAAAAGGTACGTATGCATAAGGGTTGTGACTTCGTATTATTTCATGTCTCGTCAACAACCTACGACATAACTCATCGTTGAAGACCGTGTGGGTTGAACTTCTAGAAGGCACAATGAACTTGAACTCCTTCTTAACTAGGATCGATCCCAAGGTATTATGGATTAGTTCTTGTAAATCCTTTTGTACAAATTCTGCGGAAAGATCATACACCTCAACAAATTCTTTTTTCTTGCAGTGATAAATCTCGGAGACGGTCATAATTAAATTTCATAGCCTTAAACCTTTTCTTGATGAGTTTGAGATTAATGCTACTCTGCTCATCTAGTTGAGTTGATATGTTTGTATTGCCAAACCTTTGAGCCAGGAATTCAACGGACGAAGCTAAGTTCATCTTGCGGAAGATA